TCCTTCTGCGGTGGGCTCTGGCATACTCGGACTTCGCTCATATGTGTTCGCTTCTAGTCGAGCAGCAGCCGCGAGTCATGCAGACTTCGACCTTTGACGCTGTCGAGTGCATGACGGCAATCGAGAATGCGGTGGAGGTCTCCATTCCTCTGATACGTGCGGCCCTTCAGATGGACAATATTCCGCCGCGACCAGGAGCACTGAGAAGAGTCTGGAATGTCTCCCCAGACCTATGTGCTGATCTGGTGGAAACCATGATGAGTTTACGCTCTCCTGCTCTATCCGGCACGCAAAGAGAGCGAGTACTGCGTATGGCCCATCAACGAGAAGCCTATTTCTTGCGCATGCTACTGCAGAATGGGCACATCAGGAGGAAGATTCTGGTGGACAGGCGAGCTGCCGTCGCTGCCGATAGCGGTGGGCCCTCAGCGCGTGAGCTGCCGGACCTGCCGACCCGTCCGACTGCCGCTAAGAAGCGGAAGGAGAAGACTGTGCCTCTTGTTCCTGTTCTCCCGCTGAACTCAAGACCTTTTCCTACTCGTGCACCGGCATCGCCTCCACCAGAGGTGGTAACGTCCGCCCTTACGTCCGCCAGAAAGTGATACAGACGGAGAAGTTCGCAAGGAGGAGTCTCCCGGTCGAAGTCAAGGGGTCGTGGGAAGACAAAGCAGGCGTCTAAGGCCAGCGGTGGGAAATCAAGATCCAAGCGACGAAGCTCCACTGTTAGGTTCCAAATAGATGACGACCTTTTTTTGGATGACTCGGAAGTCGCAACAGAACCAGAGACGTCAGAGGACGAGGAAGACTTTGCATCTGAGATGGCCGACATTGAGTCTGACGCTCCGACCACACCTGTTGGCCCTCCGAAATCGCGACCGAAGCCTCGTCCGGTCCGCCGAAGCAAGACTACTGCCGCAACCACAGATCAGGAAGACACTACCGATATTGAGCGTACAAGCCGTGCCGGACGTGCCAGACATGCCGGCCATGCCGCTAGTGCCGCCAGGTTCCAAACTCCCTCACCTATTCGCTCAACCTCCCCGCGTACCCCGCTTACCCCAAATCGTCGCCGTGTGTTTGTACAGCTTACTCCTAGAAGTATGCTGAAAGCTCAAGCGCAGCAAGATTCATAATAGTAGTGTAGATACATAACGGTCAATGTATACTACATATACTTACTCTTACGCTTTTTCACCGGGGTAGGAGCAGACGTCGACTCCCTCTCCAATGCCGTACGCTTCTTCAGATTTGACGGGCCAGCCTGGGCTGAGGAACTGCCTTGTCCAAGCCCAGTTCGATGAGATGGACCTGCTTCGGCAGGACCGGCAGGACCGGCCTTGCATGAAGGGCCTGCTTCGGCAGGACCGGCTTCGGCAGGTCCGGCGTCGGCAGGTCCGGCAGTCGGCTGTATCTCCATGGATATCGCCTCTTCGTTCTCGGCCGGCGCGCCCGACAGTTCCGCCCGGATGCGAGCGATATCCTCCATCACATTGCGGCCGATGTCAGAGGTCTCGAGCGTGCGACCCATGAGCTCCTGCATGGAGACGGCGCGGCGAGCATCCTGCACATGAC